AAACTAGCTATATTATGATTGTTACACGAATGGGTCGCCTTTACCAGGGAATAAATCTGCTTGAATACCGACGAAAATAGCTGCTGTGTTTTGTACGGTGAATGTAGAGAATCGGAGACCTTTTTTCAATGAAAAGAGGCTTCCCATTTTGGTTTTAAGGGGTGTTGATTCTTAATCGAGCATAGATGTAGATATTTATGGGCATCTAATTATGATCAGGTGGATTGTGTGCTCGTTTGTCGCCCTTATTCTATAAAAAATATTGAAATAATTGAAGACAGGTTCCCTTAAAACCCTGGTTTGTACGTTACACACGTGTGTTGCATACGCTTATTTTTCTCTTTCAATCTACTACATTTTACGAGTAATTTATGTTGTTTGTCCCAAATCAACAAGAAATAAAAGATTTTAAATATCATACAAGGATTTTTTAAGAATTTATTCTTCATTTCAAGCACGTTTCGGATGTGGATAATTGCTGTAGTTACATCAAAACTTGAGTGCATATAACCTAAACGCTCTTATGGTGAATGCAATTGCATTTTTACCATATTTTGTCTCTGAAATACAGTAAGCTAAAGTAAATAAATGCAAATTTCAGTTTAATTTTTTTTAAATCATATTTCAAGAATAAGACGATACTTTGTGGAAAATTTAAGATGTTAAATATAATTACGCATATATTTTACGCGGATCTTATGCCCAAATACTTAAACGTTTATCTCGTGTTGTTTTTATCACATTAAGTCAAAGTGACTGTGGCATCACGAGACGTAACAACAACTTAAAATTGAGTAGGGTTTGGGCATTTGGCCATTAGCTTATTAATTTCAACAACTTTTGAAGCAACAAAATAACTGTGAGGAATTCCATCATAGTCTTTAAAGGCGACAAAGCAACGTTCGTCATGCCCATGGAACACAGTGTCACTTACCATCAGGTGGATTGTCAGTTCGTTTGTCACTTAAATTTTATATTTGTTTGTCTTTTTTTTTTAACTAAAAAATTTTCATTGTTGTTACCACAAGAAAGTAACCCGAATATTTTGGACACATTTATACGTGGTAGAGCCATGCTGCAGTTATATTATTAGTATGGTTGTAGCACGAATGGGTCGGCTCGACCGGGGAACGACCACGCTCTCACAGAATACCAGCGTAAAATAGTAGCTTAATGCTGCTGTGTTTCGTATAGTGAGTGTAGAGAACCGGAGACCCTTTTTACTGGAAACGAGGCATTCCATCTTAGTCCTCACGGGTCCATATGCTATTTATATCTGTGAAACGCCTCCAAAATAGGAAAAATTCTTACGATGCTAATTTTTACGTGAAACAGCCACGCTGCAGCTATATTATGATTGTAGCACGAATGAGTCGGCTCGACCGGGGTAGGACCACGCTCTCAAGGCTTGCACGCGTAAAATAGATTAATGATGCTGTGTTTACTGGAAACGAGGCATCATTTTAGTCCTCAGGGGTGACAACGCATTTGCGTTTTAATTCTTCATCGAGGATAAATGCGTAAACCCTATATTCTATAAAAAAAATATCGTAAAATTTCATTTATCGTATTTGTGAAAATAATTAAGAGATGCGTTCAAGATGGGGCTCTCGAAGCGTCGTGGTACGCGATGGTTTAAAATAGCCTCTACAAATTAGGAATATTCCACGTCTGCATGGCCTCGGCATGGTATTTTCTAGCAACAAAATTCCACGGTTTTCTTTTCGAAAAACTTTAAAAGCGTTTGGACTTTTTTTATATATTATTATAAACGTATTATTTTTGATTAGCTGTATTAGTAAAAGAAATCCGTAATAAATTACGATTATGTTAATAAACTGTATATTGTCAGACCAGATACAAAAGCTTATTAATATGCTAGTCGCCCGCCCCGGTTTCACCTGGGTAGGTTATTTAGATTTTAGATCGTCAATGGACATTTATTTCACCAATTTTTAGATTTTCCGAAAAAATCTCTCAAATGTTTAGGATAAAATATAGACTAGATCACCAAGAGTGAGATCTGTTTCTCAAGATATACGTGGATGAGCCGTGCTGCAGCTGTGTTAGTAGTAAAGATATAGTACGAATGGGTCGGTTCGACCGGGGAAAGACCACGCTCTTACAGAATTACAGCATAAAATAGTAGCTTAACGCTGCTTTGTTTTGTACGGTGAGTGTAGAGAACCGCATACTCTTTTTACTGAAAACGAGGCATTCCATTTTAGTCCCCACGGGTGACAACGCATCTGCATTTTGATTCGTAATCAAGAATAGATGTAGATGTATATGGGCCACAGCAACCACTTATCATCAGGTGGACTTTTTCACCCAATTTTATAAAATAAAGCAATATTTGTAAGTACAAATAATCGTTGAGTTGAAGCCTATTAGCGTTAAGCGAAGCGGCCTCCTCGGCGTGATGACCTAGTACGAGATACAGGCAATCGTTAGACGCAGGTTTCTTATGATCGGGATTTGTAGCGTCTTTGGAGCGAGACCCACGTTCAGCAGTGTATTTATGTAAGCTGCAATGATGATGATTATGAGGCATCAATTTGTGGAGATTTATTTTAAAGATGTTAAAAACTTTTTTGAGCTAAGGTCCGTGTAATAAAATAAAATTGTGTGTCTTACCTAGTTTGGAGAGCACCTCTTTTTGGGTACCACAAACTGGGTAAGACACATAATTTTATTTTATCACACGGACCTTAGCTCGATAATCTTTAATATAATGGATTTCCGCAAAGTAACGTCTGATTCTATCAAGGAGAATAATTTTTTAATAGGATAAGGGTGGCTCGTTTGTCAGTCCACCTGATAATAAGTGGTTCCTGCAACCTATAGACATCTACATCAATCCTCGATCACGAATCAAAATGCAGATGCGCTATCACCCGTGAGGACTAAGATGCCTCTTTTTCAGTAAAATGTGTATTCGGCTCTCTATACTCACCATACGAAACACAGCAGCGTCAAGCTGCTATTTTACGCTGGTGTTCTGTGAGATCGTGTTCCCTTCCCCACCGAGCCGACCCAATTCATGCTACAACTATAATATTAGTATACCTGCACCATGGCTCTACCACGTTTAACCATTTTATTAAAGATGCGTAATTAATGCCATGTGGCAGCACGCCGTGTGGTGGGGGAGATAAGAGAATAAATCTCTTCATTTTGTGCCGTGGGTGGCTTAAGAGGCGACTATGGGTAATGCTAGAAATGTCTTATGGCTTCCGAAGTAGCGATATGTTTACGTCAGTCTTAAATACACCCAGACCGGAGACAGGCAACAGCGCCAAAGGTTTGAGACGTCTGGCGCTGCAAGCATCAGTCCATTCCAAGCTAAACTAAGCCAAGCCAAGCGTGACGAAAAAGACTACGAGGCAAATGACTTTTACGGATCTATAAAGAAAGAGGAAGAATAATGATATAAAATTAATTAGCTAATATTGGCGTCAAATGTAAAACGATGTGTATTACTTTGAAGTGCATCTTAGCCTTGATGGTTAGCCAACTTAGATTCTATTTCTCTTAATAATGCCACATTTACAGGCTTTACACATTTTCGACGGTTATTTATTATTTATGTCACTTATTATTTTAGCGACAGTAGCCTATTGGCCCTGCCATTAGGCTATTGCGGTTCGCGCGGAAGGTCATGGGTTCGAATCCACCATTTACCACTACTGTCGTGAACCACTCCTAACACAAGCATTTTTAGCTTACCAAGAGTTTTAGTACGAGGTTTAGTAGACAGGGAGTTTTAGTAATTTTAACAGCATTTAAAAACACAGTATAGTACAGTAGTAGAGTACAGTATTGTATTTTTAAATTAAATTTAAAAAGAAAAAAATTATAACTTTTGTAATGAACCTTATAAGGGATACAAATTGCGGACTTAATGTCTTATGGCGTGCTCTACCAGTCAGCCATGTATGATTTGAGAAACTGTGGCAGGTGCAAATAATTCCTTAATATAATAAGTATAATGATTTGTAAAGTGTACATAAATAGAATAACTCAAATATATAAGGTTGTTTTTGTATCCTAGTGTATTGGTGTCGCTTTAAGTGGTTTACGTTATACTGCAGCAATTGTGAGATGCTCTTCAAATTGTATAATTACACACTGATTTATTTTTTAGCAGATATTCGCTAAATGTATTTCATAGCTTTAATTTGAAAATATCTTTAGTAAATATTACTTATACAAGAGTCCTTCCGGACACCGGATTTATAATTTTTAAGTGCATTCGCATGTTAAGAGGACATATTTTAAATCTTTTTTATTTATTTATCATTAACGTCATTACAGCCCATCCCAATATTACTACAGAACATCAGCCTCCCCCAAGAAATGCCATAAGACACGGTCCTGAACCACCTGCATCTATCGACTCCTGCATCCCTTGCCAAGTCGTCGCCATCTAGTGAGAGGACGCTCTGCAAATCTCTCCGATTTTAAGCTTAATACAGAGTAAATGAATAGTAAAGTTTATGTTCTTGATTATTTTAAATGTCCGAATATCCTCAAGCACAAATTTCCAGTGCTTATTAGGCGTATACTTAATGCAACTCAAAAAGCGCAGAATGTTTTTAATTAAGTAAATTTCTTTATTTGTCCTTATCGCGAAAAGCGCTAAGTTCAGTGTCAGAGATATATTTATAAACTCAATTGCCCTTAAGATTTTTTAATGTTTCTGGAACAGCTGTACCGTGATTCATACGACATTGGCGCGAGAAATGTCGGGGAATACGAATAATGTATTTAAAATTTAAACATACACGGCCGTGAATATGAACACGAATTACGGAAAACTCGAAAACGAAACCGTACTAATTGCAAGCCATCGATACGTAGTATATGTATTCTGTGCCATCGATCTTACGACTGACTCGCGAAATAATATAGGATATACATCCGAATAAACATTAGCAAAAACACTTACTTGTTTTGTGTTAAGTCTATTTTCTACTAATATAAACATTATAACATCCTCAGTTTCTAGCTTTGTTGTACGATGCGAACGGAAACAGGGTCAAACTGGCAAAACAAAGTGAGCAAAGAAATGTACTTACATTGTGCTGATGGAGCGTCAGTATCACGTTGTCGAAGGCCGATGAGTTGGACAGGGCTTCGGAGCTGCCGCGTAGTAGCTCAGCCAACAAATCAGCCCCTGGCTTCACACCTGCCAACTTGGAAGGCGACGAAGTCGCTCGGACGTGTGTGGGGCCACGTGGTCTGTTCCCAGATATCGGAGCAGCGCCTACGCTGATTTTGCGACAAGGAACTGTCGCGTCCGAAAAACTCCTTCTACCGGCGTCCACAGATCGAGTAGACGGCGCTTCTAAATTACGACCGAAAGGAACCCTCGAGAACTGTTGCTTTTTGGCTTCAGCGTCCGAGTTATCAGATGGAGTGAAAGGAGAGGGTGATGCGGTCCGGTCGCGCGAACATGTGTCACTTTCCGCCTCCGAAGGCGAATCTCCGCGCGATGTCACACCGTACTTCCGTCTCACTCTGTAAGTATCTTCTTCTCTCTCATCGGAGCTTTGTTGAGAGAACCGCGCGCGTCTTGCTCGTAGCTCTTCTGACCTTGGCCACAAAGGCATTGCGCTCTCAGCAGGACTTGGTGGCCCATTGGTGTATGAATCGTCTGATTTATCACCAAGGAGTGAGGAAGTTCTTGCTTCAGCCGACAGGCGCATATCTTGTAATGAAGCGTCACTACTTTCGCGCTTGCAACCGTTTACTGCGGGTGGTGCATCTTCCTCACCACCATCGTCACTCGCAGTAGTTATGTAAATTCCTTTCCTTCTTTTTGTTTTATCCAACGGCCTACGTCTTTCTCTGGCACCGATTGGGGCCGGTGTACACGGATTTTGAACAGCTGCTAATAAATTCGCCACCTGTTCACTGGTTATTGTTTCGTCCTCCTTGTCTCTGTCCAATGAACCATCGGACGCCACGTCCGAACGTTGCGCTTCGTCTGACGGTAACTCTTTCGACCACTGTTTCACTATACACTCATACACGGGCACGGGTATTGAACTCGCGATCGCGCTTGCAGGCTCTTCTGCGTCAACCGGAAAGTTACCACACTCACAGTCTACGTTTGCACATGCGTTTGGGGGAGGATCGGGAAGAGGTGGGAAAGCGAAAGGTTGAGCGGGTTCCATAGGTGAGGTACCCTCACTATGCGCCTGCGCACTGTCGGCTTGTGAGCCGTCACTTTCTTCACGAAGTTCATGTAAGACGCGTGGAGTTAAAGCGGGCAAACTGCCCCCCGCTTCAGTCTGACCCTCCTCCCGAACAGGGGGTACGCGACGCGGTAGCGGATGAGTCAACGAACGAGCACCAAATTGTTTATGCGGTCCATCGAGTGGCGGAGATCGAGGAGCCAGTGAAGCGTGCGCCAGCAAACCCTCATCCGAACCCACAGCGGAGTCAACTGATGCAACCGATCCACCTTCAGTTACATTCTCTTCTGTATCAAGACTTCGTGTATCGTTATTGCGCTCTGTAGCAGCTTGCCCTGTTTCAGTTTTTGCGGATCTCTTTCCGAAGTCGAAGATCGATCGTTGCCGATCGATGCCGCGGTAGTATTTGTCCTGCGCGAAATCGCCTTGCGAAAACGACGCGCTCCTGTACGGTATAGTTTTCTGCGCGTAAGAGCCGACGATTGACCGTGGCTCGACGCGGACTAAAGTGATGTTGTCGGCATCGAATTCGTCGTAGCGGTCGACGGAGGCGCCACGCGGAGGGCTGTGGCGGTGACGGGACCGTGGCGGTGGCACGGGCGGGAGTACTGGCGCCGAGTGTGGTGGCGGTGGCGGCGGTGGTGGAGGTACGTGAGCGCGTGGCAGCAGGCGCTTGGTGAGGTCCTGCAGGCGCTGGTGGCGCGAGGGCCGCTCTTCTCGCGCGCCGCGGCCCAGGCGGCGCTGGAGGCGCTCCAGCGTGCGGCGATCGGGCTTGGCGCGGCCGAGGCACGCCGCCACCGCCTCCTCGGAGCAGCAGCGGCACGGGCAGGCTCGCGGCGGCGGCACGCGGCGTACGGTGTACCTCACCGCTCCCAGCGTCACGTACGGCGACCTGCGCACACGCAGATATATTTAGACGCGGGAACGCGCGACCCACCGAGCGGTCGAACGGCGAGTGCGACCGATTTAGACGGCGGGCGACTCGCCGCTGAATTCCGGGAGGATTCCCCGCGCCCCACTCCGCGAGGAGCTATATCCGAACAGATGATTCGTGTCTGAGTTTTTCGCTTTGATGAACCGTGGGCACGGTAGATAAAAGTTTGTATCGGTTCGGAATGCGCTTCAAGACGCTGACGACGTGAACTATAGTATTTGTGTTCAAGTGCAATTTGCGTAAGAACGGCAGGTGTCAAACAGACAGACGGAAGACGCATCGTATAAAAATAGGCGAACATTGACGATTTGGCGAAACAGCGACCTCGCAGCAATATTTACATCTTATATCTCGTTGTAGAGGACAAAGTCGCGTTTAACACTTATTCTTTGAACTATTCAAATAACGTCAATTACATTGTTCATTGTAAAACATACGTAGTTAAGCACTTGACAGGTATTTCTTGTGAAAATTTAATTAACTTTTTTTTATTTTATGGCCCAACATAAATTTGAAGAACGTAAGAAGTAAAATAATTAGACTCTACAATGTATTGAATTCATAGAACTATTTAGTAGAATGAATTCTTAGATACCAAATGATTTTAATACATACACATAGCATAAGGAATCTTACAAAACGTTTTTAAAATAAATTACACGCTATAGGTGTGATAAAAAGACTGATGAATTGCAATCCGCTTTCCTTAGTTCAAAAAAACGAACAACTCAGAATGTATCCAAATTAATTATTCCCTTTAAACATCATTCATTACTTATCAGACATTAAGGAAATACACACTTCACAATACTTGTTAGAGGAAAAGTAAGTAAAAAATTACAGTCAATATACGCTGTATGCTATGCCCCCAGCTGGGCAAGGCCTCGTCTCATTATTGAGAGAGTTTTAGATCAAGAAAGTGTTCGGCGCGCTGCCTCAGTGCGTGATAGTGGATTTGACATGTTGATTTTTTTTAATTCTGACCTGCAAACTTTCTCAAGATGTTTTCCTTTACTGTCGAACACGTGTTAAATCAGTAACCAGGTTGCTCGTACGGCGAGCACTTAGTCCCTGAGCTACGAGTATAAAATATAAATATTTTGTAGTACCCCCACGAGAATCCACTTCCACATATCATGAAATAAATGTTGTAAGAGGTGACAGAGGGAAACTGAATCAGGAGATGGGCGACAGCATCTTCATGACCGCAACGCAACAGCAACTTCAACTTGCGGTGATATTTGCGTACTGTCCTTGCGTCCTCAAATATCCCAATATGATGAAACTTCCCATATTTGAAGCAGTCTATGGGATATGTTCAGCGGTGGGCTTATTATGTGCTGTAACGAATGAATAAAATAATCATTACTTTGAACACAAAACAGTGGCATAGTACTCGTATCTATTCCTTATGGAGTGCAGAGGTAAAAAAACCGTCACTGTATTTTTTTACAGTATAAGGGTGGCAAAAGAGCATACAGTCCACCTCATTGTAAGTGGTTACTGTGGCCCATAGACATCTACATCTATCCTCGATAATGAATCAAAATGCAGATGCGTTATCACCCGTGAGGACTAAGATGGAATTCCTCGTTTCCAGTAAAAAGGGTCTCCGGTTCTCTACACTCACCAAACGAAACACAGCAGCGTTGAGCTGCTATTTGACGTTGGTATTCTGTGAGAGCGTGGTCCTTCCCGGTCGAGCCGACCTATTCGCGCTACAACTATACCAGTAATATAGCTGTAGCATGGCTCTACCACGTAAAAGACGTATGTTTAGGTGTCCGTAAAACGCTTCCAATAAAGGTTGCGCTGCGGTAGCATAGGATAAGAAAGCGCCAAAAGTAATTAGAATAAGATGGAGAATCACACTAATAAAATCACGTTTTTTCACAACATTTTGTTTGGTTATATTTACTTAATTATTTTAGACTACGTAAATAGTTGAGGTTTTGTCACGAACATTTTTAAATATTTGAACTCAGCACACTTCACCGCGTCTACAACAGCTATGTACATATCGTAGATTTTCAGACGCTAGCGCTGTTGTGGTAGGTACTGGAATCTCTATTTTCAGTATACAGTTGGACCCTTTTTAACTATCTCCCTATATGAAATGATTTTTTTAACCTCAACGCTCCATGCTATTCTTGCTAAATAATAAAAATGAAGAACCTTAAGTTTTTACTAATTTTAGGTAGTACTGCTGCGCTTAATGAATCACAACTTATTTTTATGTATACATTTTAAAGATAGTATTTTACTGTTTCACCAAGCGACTCTGAGACAGTTAGGAAAATTTCAGCTACCTATTTAATATTTATTTTTAAAATTTACGTTTATTTTCATTACACCACCACAGGTATTACATGGTTCGTGAAAGAGAACAGTGAACGTAAATAATTTTCGTTTACTAAGAAGTAATTGTTCGATCCGATTTTAAGTCCTGAATAGCCATGCACTCGACAGTGAAGGAAAACTTCTTAAGGACAACTGTGTCTGAAAACAATCTAGAAATACGGTAAAACTTTTACATTACTTTTACATATTAATTTATAATAAAACTTGTAGTGGGTAATAAGAATATCCACTACACCATATCATACCTGTCGACATATGGTATATATCGGTAAGGTGCGACAGAGTGAAACTAATATAGGAAATGGTCAGTAACATCTTCCTGATAACAATTTAAAATAAATAAAATAAACTGCGGTCGCCAACTCGCTTGCTAAGCGTAGCAACACTGGCAAAATTCTCCCTATCTAAAGGAGGCCTATGTTCAGGAGTGGACTTTCACAGGCAGTGTGGATAGATGGATGAACTTAGGGCTGATTTTTCATAAAAGTTATTAGGGTAAAATTCAAAATTATAACATATAAAAGCTCTGTTTATGTGCTCTGTATATGAATAAAATTGTTCAATTATATTTCAGTAAGACTATATTTTTTTATAGGATAAGAGTTAAACACGAGCACACAGTCCACCTGATGGTAAGTGGATGCTGTGGCCTATAGACATCTACATCTATCCTCGACTACGAATCAAACTGCATATGCGTTGTCACCCGTGAGGACTAAGATGGAATGCCTCGTTTTCAGTGAAAAGGGTCTTCGGTTCACTCCATACTCACCATACGAAAAACAGCAGCATTAAGCTAGTAATTTACGCTGGTATTATATGAGAGCGTGGGCCTTCCCCGGTCAAGCCGACCCATTCGTGTTACAACCATAATATACCTGTAGCGTGGCTCTACCATGTACAATATTATGTTTATGAATAACTTTTATCTGATGATTGAAAAATCAGACCCTAACTATAATATATTATATTAAATGCAGCAGCAGCGTTAAAGGGACGCGGCGTCTAGTACTACGATCCACCTAGAAAGCGTGACGATTAAGGCAAATACAAGAGGGGAGGCCCATTCCCAGCAGTGAACTTTCAGAGCTCTTATAGAAGAAAAAGAAGATGAAAATACTTATGCATTATGAATACTTGATTCATTTTATAATTAAATATTATTATTATATTAATATCAAAGTCTATTATAATAATATAAATGATATAAAAACTGGTAAATACAGGGGACCTGGAGAAGTCGCGCCTTCTTCTCGTGCCATCTTGCGGTGAACGTGAACGCGTGTCGGACGCCATCGACGGTCATGTGATACCACACATGTTCGCCGCACCTACACGCATATCTGCAACAAATAGTAAAAATTTAATGCATACTGACTATAAATTAAAAATAAAATTAATCTATTTTAGTTATCTACAATCACGGATTTCAAATTTAACACAGTATTAATATATTATTGCAAAGAATGACGTTTACGATAATTGTTTTAATTTCGAATAGGTAAAAATAGACACGGAGCATTTTTACATAATTGCATTATTGCACACTTTGATTATATTATATAATCAAAGATTGCATATTATTGATTTAAATCGAATAACTAAGTCAAGAAAACATCAAATATATTTAGATATACCCATATCTAAATATATTTGATGTTTTCTTGACTTAGTTATTCGATTTAAATCAATAATGTGCATACGATAGCGACATCTATCCAGATAGCGACTGAGAGGTATCTTCCTTCTGGATGTTCAACTTTGATATTTAAACGCTATCAGCTTTGGGCGGGCGGTTTACAATTTTGTTTCCATCTTCGCCGATAGATGTCATAGTTCGTTTTTGGAAAGATTTTAACATTTAAAATCTAGTTACAATTTTATAAATTTTTGTTTTCCTAATTAATTTAACAAACATGATATAAAGACAAATACTTAACATAATTTTCTATGTTATTTATTCTACAAAGATACATTTTATTGAATACTAGCTTGACAGGCAGACGTTGTTTTACCCTTTTCGACGACCCTTTGTCATGTCCTATTAAAAATCCTTAAATTCGCAGAAAAAAATTGTGGGTCACTCATGGGAAAAAAACTATCCTATCTCTCAAGTCAGCAGTATTAAGCTGCTCTTTTAAGCCGGTATTCCGTGAGAGCGTGGTCCTTCCCGTGTCCGAGCCGACTTATTCGTGCTGCATCCATTATATAGCTGTAGCGTGGCTCCACCACGTATAAAAAGACTTGAGAGGTGGACTTTATGGTCTCCCTCTCAGTTCGGCCAAGACACCTTTAGCCGTCAGAAACCACGATCAGTCTTGACTCTGGTTAACTAGCAGTGAGAGAACCCCATCACCTAACCCTGCCATCCTGTCTTTGTCCGTCTGTTACCTAAGGTCTCATGGTACAGACATCCCAAACTTATGTAATTTATTTCTGTATATTTATATGGTAAGGCTAGGTATTTGAGAATGCTAGGATCTGCAAGGTATAGGGAACTTACTGAGGGTCTGTAGGGTATAATACTCCATCCTACCATATTCATGTGCAGCCAGGTAGTTGAGCTATTGAAGGGAAATTGGGTTAATATTCAAAAAACGACTGCCTGACTGTACAACGTCTTCGTTCCTTATTTCATCTGGTCACATTCACTACTAGCAGTTGTAAAAATTTTAATGTATTTATGGAGTAAAATAATGCGAATATAGTAAAATATGGTGTTGTTCTAAACCGAAACTATTGATAAATTTACTAAAAACGACGAAATAAAATCTGTATTGTTGCATTTTTTGAGCATTAGTGACTACCAGTTTAAAAAATAGCTACATAATGCTACTGTGTTCGTACAGCATAGTATGGTCAGTGACGAAAACTGAAAAACCTTTTCACAGGTAACCAGGCATAACATATTAGTCTTTAGAGGTGATAACGTATCTGTATTTTGATTAATTCGATTATTAAATCGCGGATAGATGTAGGTGTTTATTACCCACAATATTCACTTGCAATCAAGTGGACTGTGCTTGTCACTTATTGTTTTAAAAAATGTATTGTGATTGTTTAAAAAAAGGCTATTTCCTTTCATATTTTGAAACCATTTAAGGAGTGGTATAATTTGTCGAATGACGCACGACGAAGCGCCACAGTTTATCACAGAAGATTTAAAAAGGAAATTGTATCTTTAAACGCCATCGGGAACCGACGAAAACGTTTCGTGTGATGTTTGACAATTTAAAAACTTCCTCAATACATTTCATTTTGCATTGTTAATGCAATTTATGGTTGTAAAATGGCGCCACTTATGAAGGGGAATGTTAATCCTCACTTATTTAATAAAGTAGCAATAAAAGATATGATAATACTTAAAAAGTTTAAATGACATTGAGTAAAGAACTGTAAACGGACATTTTTAGGGTTCCGTAGTCAACTAGGAACCCTTATAGTTTCGCCATATCTGTCTGTCCGTCTGTCCGTCCTCGCTTAATCTCTGTGACCGTTAGCACTAGAAAGCTGAAATTTGATACCAATATGTGTATCAATCACGCCGACAAAGTGGTAAAATAAAAATTGGAAAAAAATGTTTTATTAGGGTAGCCCCCCTATATGTAAAGTGGGAAGTGATTTTTTTTTAATTTCAACCCTAACGTGTGATATATTGTTGGAAAGGTATTTAAAAATTAGGTTTACTAAAATCATTTTTGATAATGTCAATAATTTCGGAAATAATCGCTACAAAAGTAAAAAACATGGGTCGTCCCCCCCCCCCCCTCTAACTTTTGAACCATAAGTTTAGAAAATATGAAAAAAATCTGAAAAGTAGAACTTTATAAGGACTTTCTAGGAAAATCATTTTGAACTTGGATGGAAACAACAGTACCCACTACCGGGAGCAGTTGCAATGGAGCGCGAACATAATGGATACCCACCTTTAAACTCATAAGTGGGAACACTTATTGTGACGGACGGGAAACTACGGAACCCTACACTGAGCGTGGCCCGACACGCTCTTGGCCGGTTTTTTATTACTAAAATTAAACTTTCAATAAAACTTAAAAGGGGACTTCAAAGAACTGAAAGGAATAATTCATAACAGCTTCAGAAGTCTGAGACAAATGTGATAGAAGAAATAATGCTCTGACATCAGAAGCGACGACGACCGATGTCGAGATCATTTTATTTGAAGAAGACTTTTCTTAAAGTTTAATTTTTTGACCCCTTTGTGTGGAGTAAGAAATATTACAAACTTAAGATAACAACCTAGACACCTACCCAGATTGTCGTTCATATAGTCACTTTACAGAACTCATATCCAATTTTTCCGCCCAAATTCTCCACCTAAATGGCTGGAATTTTTCTCACTAATTTATATGGAACCTCGCCTGAATCATTTTTTTTATGAATAACGGTGACAAACGAGCACACATTCCACTTGATAGTAAGTGGATGCTGTGGCTCATAGACATCTACATTCATTCTCGATTAAGAAACAAAATGCAGATATGTTGTCACCCCTCAGTTATAGTACATTAACATGGAATGCCTCGTTTCCAGTTAAAAAGGGTCTCCAGATCTCCACACTCACCATACGAAACAAATTAGTATTAAGCTGCTATTTTACTCTGGTTATTTTACGGTTGGAGAGCGTGGTCCTTCCCAGGTCGAGTCGACCCATTCGTGATACAGCCATAATATAGCTGCAGCGTGGCTCTACCACGTATAAAAAATAAAATACGAGGTGAGATTTACCATTTATGGCTTGATTACTTTTACCGCCAAATTGGATTGTAGTCAACTAAAATGTGATTATCAATGTGTTTTCTCCATATCACTGTTTAAAATGATGCCCTTGTTTGAAAAAACGTTATACATCATCATTTTAAACAGGTACGTGAATGTAGAAAGTGAAAGTATGATGAAAAGGAAGGAGCGTTGTATTTAAGACAACTCACTGATTGTCTTCAACTTCAAAAAAAATGGATGTGGAAATAGACTACAATAACCGGAAGCTAAATATTTTATATATACACATAAATCAAAGACGTGTGAATTCCGTCAACAACATAACAACAAGGTTAGGTCAACACCGACTAAAGTAACGCGTCAGACGTTTTACCCAATATTGTATTAGGAATTATTTTTAAATTATATAAGAAAACTGATGACATGTTAATATGAAGATTGAAGAGATAAGAGTTTCAATATTCTAAGAACGTAATCATGTTCTAGGTCAAGGGTATCAAAGGGTGTTTTCTTTGGGGTAATTTACACAATTAAGATCATACTAGAACCTAAGTGGCCAGACTAAAAAGAAATTAACGCAAAAAGAAACGATATTTTCTTATTATTATTATTTAGGAAAACCAGCGAGTGTGAGTAAAAACACACGCAATCTGAAACGCGTATACTTAGTATTTGTACAATGTGCTATTCCTGGTTATTCCATTTCTCCACCCTAAGAAATTCACCCTACGGTGGATACTCGGAATCGCGTGTTTGTTTATCCACCACTGACGGGGTGGATAATCGGAATTCGTATATTATTTGTCTTACGATTTTCCCCTTGGCTGTGTGCAGTCGTTTATAAAAACATGATAGAAACTGGCCCAAGATTACTCAGTAGACATTAGCATACTTATAAAAATACAATACATACATACTTCTTGTTTAAAGTTCCGAACTGAAATACTTTTAATTAATTAAGAGAATATAGTAAGTCAGCTCAAATTATAATTTGGCCCCCACTTCCCCGCGCGTCGTATGCTATGTACCGACATGTTTGTAATCACTAATACTGTAAGTAGAAAGGTCGTTAGATACTTACTTCATTAGGTTTATCATATTTATGCCTGTTTCTTAACGCCAACCCAGTCACTTCTTATTTTTATTACGGTTATTTCCCATTTTAATTTTATGTCGTCCGGTTGCGTAATGTGTATTCTGATCGTAAGCGACACAACTTCCCCCCTTCAAAGGCCGAAGCGAAACTGACCGGATTTCAGTTATACAAAGGTACTCTGTGACTGACCGGGCGGCAGGAATCAAACTTCAAGATGCCGATAGTTTAGGTAATTTCTTTTTACAGTGAAAATAGTGGTATTTTAAAAGAAGTAAATAACATAAGCACTGCTTTATAGTTAGTTCAGTTAGTATGCAAAGTTCCATGATCTTATTTAAAGTATTTTATGAATAACAGCGGTTTATTGTTTATTTTGGAGGTAACTTTGGATTTTTTTTCTATCGAGAAAATTTTATGGAATCATGTTTTCGTCTAACATAGTCCTTAACATTAATCCACA